GCCGGGTAGGTGTTTTGCAGCTTGCGCCAGTGGGGAGGGGGGGGTGGCCCGCGTCCACTCCACCACTTGCAGTCGAGCAGTACATGGCGAATGCCTGCTGGTGCCTGGCACAGCGGACATATGCGTTTGGCTCCTTTTGTAGTTGTGAAAAAGGCGCCTTGCCAGACAGTCCGCAGCGAGGTCAGGTGGTTGGGCTTGGCAGCTTGCGTGCGAAGGAGGCGTCTGGGCACTGTCCAGTCGACCCCTTGGGCCGCTCCCTCGCAGGCGTCCTGCTGACCGATTCTGCGGTTTGTCCAAAACTGCAGCAGGCGACGCAGTCCTTCCTCCCCTCGATGCCGCGAAGAAGGGCTGGGCTGCAGGGATATGATGTCAGCAGGGAAGGACCATAGCCCCTGGCCTTTGAGGCTGTTGGTGGGGCACTTCCAAGAAAAGGGGTCCTGGGCATCAACCCCATGGTCTTGGAGGTAGGCGATCATAGCTGCCACAGGTCCTTTGACAAGGGACCATCTCTTGGATGACTTGCTCAGTTTGTCCCACGTGACCTGCCAGAGACGAAGGTACTGCTGAGGTACGTCATGGGCGAAGAGCAGCTTGTGCAAAGTGCGCCAATGCTGGATCACCACCGTTTGCAGGGGATCGCAGCAGTTTCCTTCTCCTAGGCTGAAAACAACATCAACACTCCCAAGCTTATACCTTCGTGCGGCGACGGCCGAGTGAGTGCGAAAGGCTCGCATTTGCTTGGGGCTGAGGCCAAGGCCTTGGTGGCCCCAGATCGCAGCAGACAAGCAGCCCATCTTGGACACTCGCACACGATGGCTGGTTTTGTGAACTTTTAAGTTCTGTAGCTTGGAGCTTCTGGCGTTGCCTTTTGTCAAACGGTTGCTTTGCACCTGAGTGCGGCGAGCCCTGCCGGCAGCATTGGCTATACCCAAGTCTTTTGCAACGGACGAGACCTGGACAGGGTCCCCTTTGGACTGTTGCTTCAAGGCGGCCTGAACTGCCGAGCTGGATGCAATCCAGGTGGTCTTTTTGAAAGAGACCTGCAGCCCCTCGTCACTTAGAGCCTGAAACAAGGCCCTTGCCACGCGCAAGCCCTTAGCTGCGACTTGTTGAGGGTTGTTGCCACAGAAGTCCACAGAAAGATCGTCGACCCAGGTATCCGCTGTGTCGACAGCTTTCTGGTTGAGCACTTGGGAGCAAGCTGGCCAGAGGGCAACCTTGCTGAGTGCAACTGCCGCAGGGCAGCCTGCTAAGACGCCTCGACTGGCGTAAGCAGGAGGCCCAACGAGGCCATCAGCCGAGAGTAGTCGAGGTCCTCTGTACGCGCAGAGGGCGCCCCACAAGAGGAGCGGAGGAAACGAAACCTCTTCAGCATGCGCGAGGAGCCTGGAGTGGCTTATGGTCTCGTAGAAGCAACTGAGGTCCAGGTA